GTTGTTTTTTGGGGGGTTTTTTTGTTTTTGTTTTTTTGCTTCCGACAACGCAAGGTCCCTAAAGGTCACACTGCTCTGATTTAAAGGTCACACGGCTCTGATTAACTTTAATTTGAGTCAGAGATACACCTCAGTGATGTTCCAAGAAATGTACCCCCATAACAAGGCCTATAAATTATAACATAGCAGTCGGTGGAAGGCTGGAGAGATGAAGCCACGGGGTGATAGGGTTGGGAAGAGGTACTCGAGCTTTCTAGAGCATTTGGGGGGGGGGGGTGTTTCCCTAATAGCCTCGGGGAACCCTTCGTGTAGTTTAATGGGGGCCTTCGTTGGAAAATCAAGGAAAATCATTCAATGTTGAAGTGATTCATAATATCGACGGTCACTGAAATAAGGATAGTTCATAAGTTATCAACCTTCATGTGTTGACTTTTGTGCTAAATGACGTCTTGAATTAAACAACCCTTAACAACAAAGTTTTTCCCATAATTCCTTTATAAAATGTAAAATCGAGAAATGGTGGGTGGGGGGGGGGGCTGAAAATCTGACCAAACGTACAGTAGAGGTCGACCGAATGTCGGCTTCGGTTGCGGTTTCGGCGCCAAAAGATGCTTAACAGAAAAGTTAACTCTCGGTTTATTTTCGTTATCGGTCGAAAGTGATTTCGGTCATCTACCAGAAGTCAGTCTCTAGGCCGTCAGTCCGATATGCGTTATTGCTCGACGTCTTGCAGTCATCTATGTTATATNTTTTTATTTTTTTTTTAATTTTTCAATTATTAAATTTTGAAACCCTGGGTTTTTTCAATAAATTCATTTTTTGTATTCATTTTTATTTATCATAAATGATGTATTGGGCAAAAGTGAATAAAATTTAAAAATCCAAGGGAATGGTAATATTTCCTTTAAAAAAAAAAAAAAAAAAGTAGAGAATTGTAGGCCTTTTCAATTGATTTTTCTTTTAATTCATCATCACCATGCTCATAAACATTGTAATTGACTAAATAACACACGTGTGCATGTATCACTGGTTCGTATAATAAGTATGTAGTGGTAGTAGTATAAAAGCAAAGGACTCACAATGGTCTATTTTGCATGAATTTTGTCGAACGAGTTTCACATTTTCTCTTGCATACTATTTTAAAATACATTTTTGACAAATTTAAATTACTTTTCAAATAAAATGTTAAAAAGCTGAAGCATTCATTAGATGTTTATTTATTAATATTCACGATGATCTCATTTTTCTTTTTTTTAAAGAAAGTAAATATTGATGTTTTGCCCCATGTTTTTTTAGATGTATGCAGAATGTATGCGTGCACGAATGTCAATATGTCTAAATCTTTCAGTTTCGACTTTGCTTTAGGCCGAAAGTCTCGTTAAGCTTTTGGTTTCGGCTTCTGTTTCGGCCGAAAATCATTTTTAACTTTCGGCATGTTTTCGGTTTCGACTGACATCATAAAATCACGTTCGGGCGGTCTCTGACGTGCATACAAGTGACGCCCTTTATAAGAATACCAATTAATGCTATCCTCACCCGAACACTCACAACCGCACATTTTGTTCAAGCCCCTGAACTATATTTATATTCTAATGACCCAACCGCTCTTACGCTGCAGATTTATTTCACCAACAATTTTAGAAAAACAAAAGAAAATAGCATGCACCAAACGCACTTGCGATATCTTTTTTTTTTTTTTTTTTAAAGAATATCATTTAGAGCACTTATGGGGAATTAAATTTATCCTCCCCTTGAAAATATTTTAGAAAAACAAAAGAAAATAGCATGCACCAAACGCACTTGCGATATCTTTTTTTTTTTTTTTTTTTAAAGAATCTCATTTAGCGCACTTATGGGGAATTACATTTATCCTCCCCTTGAAAAACAGGGAAAACTGATTTAGGGCGTAGGCAGTGGGGCTGAAGATTTGATAGAATGTGTTGTCATCGGCCACGAGTTTATGTGCTCGATAGCTTGATCAGTAGTGGGTCCATTAGCCGTTCGAAGATTTTTGCCACCTAGTCAGTCAGTCGGCCACAAACAAAAGGGAAGTTGATGTAAAGGATTATATTTTAAAAAAAGGTGGTAATTGCATCAAGAGATGTCCGTATAGTTGTCTACCTTTATGACTAATATGTGGGTGGGGTGGGGTGGTTGTCTAAATTAGTTTGAGGAACACTTTAAAAAAAATGTGTTTCTATATGTACAATTGCATAAATGTGTTTTATGAGCTTTTATCCAGCTTGCAAGGTTGTATGTGTCTGTTTGTCTTGGTCAAATCATGTAACTCAGTTTTCGACCTGTTCCCTTCGTCTATTACTATTATTAGAAATTGTGCAGTTTCTCAATGCCGATGACCATACAACACTGCAGCAGTTACCTCCAATGATCCTTGGGTGACATCTGTGAGTTTTAATTTTGCATCTCAATTGCATCTGATTGAACTGAAACTCCGTGCAACTACCGCACCAACGATGGCAGTACAACTCTTCATGATCACTAGGTCACCAGTGACATCTACTGATCATTGGTTGACCTCTGCAGGTCACATACTGCAACTTATTTTTTACCAAATGGCAATACAAACTTTCAGTATCAGTGGGTTATCAGTGATTTCCACTGACCCTTGAGTGACCTCTGTGAGTCTAATCTTGCATTTCAATTTTCGACCTGTTCTCTTCGTCGGATGGATTTGAAATTGCTGGCACCCGTCCGTCTGGCATCCGCCAGTCACAAGGTAACGATGGTGTAGACTTCGCAGGACTGGGATTATCCTTCTAGGATTATAAGCTGGATAACCCGAGGGAACATCATGTGGATGATACAGCTTGGCATCAGTGGCGTCGCAGGAGTTCTCGGAATTTTTCATTTTATCCGCTTACGGGGCTCCATCTCCGGGTTTGAATTCAGAGTTTCCTTCTCTTAGACGAGTTGATATCTAAAGGCTAACGCGTTCACCCACCGGGGCGCCGATGATGTTTGACTGGGCTTTGGTGGTGGGGGTTGAACCATCAACTTGAGATTTGCTCACGCTAGACCACTCGGCCACCCAGCTGCCAATTTGAAACAAAAAAACGTACAATGCAATATTTCTGGGCGTAACTTCTGAGAACTTGAAGAGCATAAATTTTAGCGTCCAGAGCATGGAGTTCATATTGGAACGCAGCTCCGCGTGAAATTTCAAAGTAATAAAAGGAGATCGGCAACAGACTCTCTTTAAAGTATTTTTTACTTGCATCATTTCCTTCCATGTTCGGCGCCCACACTTTCATTTTTTGTGGACGCGACTCACTGCAAGGAAATCCTTGTTTGTCTCAATTATTTTGTACTTTTTAATACATATGAATAGAAAAAGAGTGTTTTTTAACCGTTCTTTGTGTTACCTCTTTCATTAATGTATGTGCCCTGTCATAATGTATGTGCCCGCTGTCCTATTTGCACGTGACTGATGCCCTTTTTGTACATGCGCTACACATTATTTTCCTTCTGCTGTCTCCGAGGAATTGTCGATTACGTCATGTGTCACTTTGATGCGTAATTGACATCAAGCCAAAACAAGACTATAACATTTTTAACAAATATATTAATTTCCAACTGTTTCCAGAGTTTGATAAAGGTACGAATCACTCTACTTTATGAGACCCATGAGAGATTTCTCTAAAATGCCAAATTGTTGTAAAGAACTTTTAACATTTAAAGTCCTTAAATTTTTTAAATTTTATTTAATACTACTTAAATATCAATAGATTTAATAAATTAATTGTATTTTAACCTTCTGTTACAATAGAGCCGTATCACTAAGATTAATTTAACATAACAACACAACTCATAAAACTATTTGTACAAGCAAAAATTAACCTCAAAATTATGGAAAAATATAAAATATTTTTTTTAAAAACTATGTGGAAAAGTTTTATACTGGTATTTTAAAATTAAATTTAAAATTAATTTTGCTGCATTTTCAAATGTGACCTAGTGTAAACACTGCCTAGTTTAATTCTAGCAACTGATCTAATGCTAACAGGTTAAATGTATTTCTCAGATACCGTACTGTTTTGATTACAGCTCACATCTCACCAACTTAGGAAATTGTATCAAACTCAGTGATAAAATTAACTGATATAAGTATAATATTGTAAATTTAAATAAATTTATTCGAATGATTTTTTTCAGAGCAATCATTTTTTTCCTAAAAATAGCTAAATGATTACGCATTAATTTATGTAAATAAAATTTTATTTATTACAAATCTTTGTTATTTTAAGTATACCAAATTATCCTGAGAAAGAGAAAGAAATATTTTGGATATAATTTCCATAACATTTTGCTTCCTGTGGCATTTCACCTTTTCTTCTCCAGATTCTTTTTGTAAGATATATTATAACTCTTTTTTTTTTCCTTCTTCTAGATATACATAGTTGTATATTATAGAAGTTGGTTTTGAAATCACAGGATGCAGTTTTGAACTTTCAAAGTGGAATAGCTGGAAGTGTGGTTTGAAAGAACTCAATTTTTTAAATAGTTTAAAATTTATTTGATTACCGTAACACTCGTTTCCCCTATATTTATTTAACTCCATCATGAAAATAAAACTGTAACTCAAGGGAATAGATTTAACAAAAAAAAAAGTATTTACATTTATTTGTATATTGTGACAAAAAACTTAAACAATTCAGACTTCATGAAATCCAAGACTTTTGTTCCACAAACATCCACTTCAATCAGGCACAAGCTTATGCCGGATGCCATCCAGCACTCAACTGTCACACTCATTCACAGCTATTGGAAATGACGACTTTCTGAGATAGTTTACCACTCTTGCACCCCACAACCGTCACACTAGTTCACCACAGTTGGAAATGATGACTTTCTGTGACGGTTTACCACTCTTGCTGCCCACAGCCTGAAAATAAACAACCTTATATTTTTATAATAATGGATGGCAAAACAGTCAATTGTACTACTAAACTTACTCTTCCACTGACAATACAACAACGCCATCTCCACCATTCTCTCTTGCATGCAAATTATAATTCTTGGACTTTTAAAATCATTTTAAAGATATGGTCAAGGTCCAGTTCATTTAAAATTGATCATTATTAGTCTGCATCGTTGCACTGCACTTTGATAAAAGCAGCATTTGATGGAGTAGCAGGCTTCAAGTGCTTTGTATGGCACTGCCTTTAATCCTCTGGTGTAAACTATACTTACAATGATCCATTCTCAAAGCAGAGCTCAATTTTACCCCAATAATAAATTTACATTTACGCTTAGATATTAGTATTATTAGTACATATTCTTGCAGTACATTACCTCCATCTTCTTGACAATATCCAAGCCTTCAATAACTTTGCCAAAAACAACATGTTTTCCATCTAACCTGTTTGGAAATCATTGGAAGGAATACTTCAATGTCTTTGAAGATCATAGAAAGGAATACTTAAATGTCTTTGGCTTAGTCTTAGTATTACAACAAAATTAATCAATATAAAATTCAGAGAAGCACTAAGTCATGTATTTTTTTTAAATATTATTATGCAGGCTAAAACTATGTATTGTGCCTGACCACTTGGCCTTAACTATGTTTAAGCTATAAACTTAAAACTCATCAACAGCAATCTTGTGATGATTTAAAACTTTTTAAGTGTATCTGTAGGACAAAAATCTATCAGAAATGAAAAGTGCAGTGTCAACTAATCAGCAAATTTGCAATGAGTCGGAGAAGGCCTGCATGTGTGTATGTGTGTGGCTCATTGTTAATGCTTATTACGCAAGATTAAAAATAATTAAATGTTCCAATGCATTCCTAATTTTTTGGTCGAATCCTTAAAGTAGCATTGTTCAAATAATTTGTTCAAGTAATAGTAATACAATAACTTAATTTATTCCCTAAAAAAAAATAATGTAATCTAGGGGAGCAAACTTGCCATTCTGTTCTTTCTGTAGTCAAAAAGAACTGAGATCCGTTAGTGTTTGGTCCCGAGTTGGCCATTGACAGTGTGCCTAAACAAAGCCAGGAAATACAATGTCACATTTTTAAAGTCAACATTTTTTTTTATAAATACAATACTTAAAAAATTATTATTGCTAAGTTTTAAATTTCAGCAGGCCTAAGGAAATCATGATTTTAATTTTTAAAAAAGATTGTTTTACTCTGTAATAAAATTGTTAAAGTTATTATAAAGGGAATCTTTCCAATTTGAAATTATTTGTAAAAGATTTAACATTATCCTAAAATGACAGCAGCAGGATGCCTACCGGGTCCTGTGTGTTTCAGTGTGAAGTTTTCATCATCGAACTTGCGCCCATATATGCTCTTGCCACCTGTGCCATTATGATTGGTGAAATCACCTCCTTGGCACATCTCAGTAAAATTAAGGATAAACATTAGATTAAAGAGCAGACCTGAGACAGGCCAAAGTATGCTCTCAGGTCAAGTTGGTTAGAGTCTTTTTTAAAATTGTAATGACAATTTTAGAAACCATATTTCGTTAATAATTGGTATTGATATTAATTAAATGTAAATGGTAACTAAAAAAATTTCTGAAAACTGCTAAGAAAATAAATATAAACAATTTTTAAATAAAATAAAGGGGTCTTTTTTAATTTTTCACAAGATAATTCAATGCCGATGTACACCGAGCAATGGAAATATAAGACAAAAAAGCCTACACATCTCACAGTTTATTGTGGACCTTGGAGAATCTGACAACACAATGGTTCACCTAATACTAATACATTGCTACAAACTCATTTTGAAAACAACAAAAACTATTTTTTATACTTATGCTGATAAGATTAGTTGAAAATAATGAAAACAACGTTTTCATTATTTTGATCAGTAAATGAACCTTATCTTATCAAATAAAATATTTTTTTAAGAGTAGAATATCAAGAATGACATTTTAATTGCAAGGATACAAATTGTGGTATAATTCTGTGAAATGAAGAACCTTTGTACCCGTAGCCTTTTTCATGAGTGCACAAACAACGGAAGTTCTCTGAAAAAATAATTTATTTGAGATATTAAAAAGTGTTAATATGGCTTATTTCATATACAAAAAAAAAAATAATCAAATATTGTAGGTTACATAGTTTGCTCATTGCCATTTCCAGTTAAGTTCTAGAGAAAAAAAACAACTGTTCATAAATCAATTATCACCAGCAAAATATATCTTAAACATGCTTAATATTGATGTTCCAATCCAAAGAGCAAATAATTTAAGTTTCAGAAAACACAAATCCAGGGTACAAGAAAGAAAAAAAAAGGATAAAAATCAAGGCTACGTTGATGAATTATAGTTAAGTGTGATTTCTTTAAATTTTTGTATGAGTAAATGCTTTATTATACTATATGAAAACTGTGTGGAAATTCATATCTGTTATGTTACCTAAAGGCCAGTACAGGCGATAAAAATGTTAGTGGATCACAAAGAAGAAACCTAAAAATAACCGGGTCACAAAAAACAAGTTTGGGAAATGCTTTCAGATAGATCTATTTTTAAATGTTAAGAACCCCATTTTATTTATTTATTTTTTGTTGTTTTGCTAACATCACAAATTGATTCATTTAAAATTAAAAATAATGGAACTACTCATAATTCTCTTATTAAAAATAACAATGGTGTGCACGGAAGGTATATTTTACTTTTAAATTGTGTTTTTTCAAACCACACTTCCAGCTATTCCACTTTGAAAAAGAAAAAGTTTATCTTGGGATTTGAGCACACAAAGACCTATTGAAGTGGACTTCAACAATTTTTTTTTTACCCCAGATAAGAACATCATCTATGCAAAAGTTAAAATATTTTTGAAGTAAGCTAACCAGCTGTTAATGGCACTACATCAGCTCTCAGCTCAATAACTATACGTCCGACCTCCCGGCTGCCAATTTTGATATCCATGAAAACCTGAGAACATCCTCCTGGCTTTTGTTTTTTAGATGGTGTTGACGTTTCCTGTATTTAAAAGAATTTGTACGAAGGTTTGAAACAAACATTTTGGGTGGTTTATCATTTTAATTAATAATACAACAAAACTGAGGTCCACATCCATGATCCCTAAAATTCTGAAGTGTAGAAAAAAACAAACTTTCCAGTCACCAATAATAATTATACACATGCATGACTTTTTTCAAATTATGATTTTATGGTTACATTTACCTATGCGTTAATTTATTTCATTATCAAGAGAAACAACAAAATTAGTGCCGGGCTTGCTTTTTCTTTAACCTGTGTATTTGAAACAAATGGTATGATGACTTGGAATTAGGACAAAACAAAACCATTTTATTCAAGCTTCATAAATCAGTCAGACCAACATGTCCTTGCTACAAGCTTGATTTCAAACCCCAACCACTAAAAGAAGAATTTTTTTTAAAAAATGAAAAGCACTAAATGTTCATTAGAATTGGTCGAGATTTTACCTGAGTGTCTTCATTGGTTCTCTTCTCTCCCTTCTCAGCCTCTGGATCTTCAGGCTGCGCCTCTTCTGTTTCCTTGTCTTTTAAAGTGGCACCTGCATGTTCCTGTAACCAGGCATCATCAGCCCATACTGTACAATAAAAAAAAAGGAATATAATATTTTCTTTCTTTCATATTTACCATTTTTTTATTTATAAATGTTATCAACAACTAATATGCTCCAACAAATGTATTATTAGAACCACAGCTGTGCTCTTAATTTAACTAGAAACTTAAGATTTGGCCTTTGACCTTCTGTTTAAAGAATCACATTCAAAAGTATAGCTTGCCTCATCAAAGATTTTGAAATAATTATAAAAAATTAGGGAGAGGTAGTTCCATTCAGCTGCAAAATAATACTGAGATATAAGTTGTATGAAAATTAAAAAACATCAAGAGCAGCCAACTGGACCAGCACTCTATCAATAAAAGCTAAGTTGCTTAAAGTTGGTACCTGCTTTCGATGCTCCTTCTTTAAGTTTCATTGGTTTAGCCAAATTTACACGGATTGTGCGTCCAAAGAGTTCAGACTCATTCATATTGTCGATGGCATGCGCTGCGTCCTAAGAAGAGCAATCAAGATATTTACAATCTTTGAACAATAAATTAAAATTTGACATTATATCTTTCATTAAATCCATTTCCTTGTAATCATTTTTATGTGATATCAAAGAAACTCGGTAATGAGTTATTTAAAACAGCCATTATCTTTTCATTTCTAACCATTTGCTGCTGTTTCTTTTTTGGTTTTTTTTTGTATTGAAAAGTACTGAACACTGAAAACAAATTAAAAAATCTAATGAAAGTAATAAACTGCAAAGCAAATGTCATTTAAATGTACATGATCTATTAAATTGAGAAAAATACTTTTTTTTTTAAATTTCTGATAATATTTGTTTAAAGAGGAAGAACTTTGAATGATCTAAAAGGACCTTTTAAGATAAACTAAATTACCTCTATCATAAACTCTACAAATTCACATAATAAGTACAAGTTTATTTTCAAAGTTCTTCAGTTCTCTTTGTACTTTAACAGTAAAATTGTTTTGTTTTCAATTCATAAAATGCATTGATACTTTTTTAGGGGGTGCGAGACTTTATAAAACAATTTGCAGGGGGTACTAGGCATAGAAAAGGTCAAGAAACACTACTCTAAGATAAACAAAATAACTATGATACAAACTAAGTAGCTCTGAGATGAACTGAGTTACCTCTGCTATTTCGAATTCAACAAAACCAAACCCTCTGTGCTTTTCTGTTGAAAAATAATAAAATACACAAATAACATTTTTTACTGTAAAATCATTTCATTTTGTAGTACAAGAATTTAACAAAAAAATTGAATGCAATATTTTTCAAGTCTTTGAAAAATGAGACTGCCTTTGTTTTCTATGTCAAAGTGTATTATGGTTTTAAGGATTTAATCTTTTTTAAGAGTTGGCTCATACAATAAACACTCCGTAATAAAGAACTAAGAAAAACATCATGTCAAAAGAAAACAATACCAAACCTAGTGACACTAACAATATTTAATTAATTGTACCGATAAATTTCTACACAAATGAAAATTTGAGTCCAGAAGCAAAAAAACTGTATCAACTGATAGCATGTGAAAAATTTATACTCCTCAAAATACAAACATTAATTAACACACACACACAATTATACAACATCTCTTATATGTCTCTCTAAATCTATCTACTAAGAAAGCATACAGCCTATATAAGGGGACAAAATCAGAATGATTTAGTACAGAAATTCAAAAAATTGTGTCAGCTAATGGCATTCTTATTTTCTCGCAAAAATATTTATGTTGTTAAAGCTGGATTGTTAGAAAGTGAATATTATCTACATTACAAGAAGATAGGAAAATGATGCTTTAAATACAGCTATGCAAAAGGTGGTTTTTTAAAGCCATAGTTTTATTAAGGTTACATTACATTAATATTCTATTTTTATGCTCATCTTATTTTTCTCCTAAATTGAAGCATCCTTTTATTTCCTTTATATCCAACTCCTTAATGCTATTTTCCCTCTGCCTCTGTCCTAACTCGCCACAGAAAAACTAACAAAGCTATGTTCATTTTAGCATTTGTATATTTATGCTTCCCTTGTTTAAAAAATATATATTATATTTTTTTAAAAAAAGGGACACTAACATCTTAGTCTCTGCTTTATACTGAATTGTCTACATATTTTCCACAACAGTAACTTAAATGAATAGGAAAAATAGCTTTTTGATATAGAATTTAATATAAATTATTCACCTGTTTCATAATCTAATGGCATTTGAATGTCAATAATTTCTCCAAAAGGAATGAAAGCAGAATGTAATATCTTTTCATCCACCTCCTCTGCACATCCTCCTGAAAACAAAATGCAAAAAACAAATACAATTTTTTTTAAAATATATATTTTTCAATAAAAACTTAACATCACAATATTAATTAAATAAAGATCATATATAGCTCAACCGCCAATGCTCCTTCACTAATACTGCACAAATTATATGTTTGCAATTATTACCATGCTCCTCATGTATACGTCAAACATTTAAAGTAACTAATTTTAATAGTGTCATGACACAGCGACTTGTTCCTTTATATACCGTACATTAAGAAGTTTGTTTCATATTGGAAACATTATCTTTTTACATGCTAATCAGCCTCTTATTTTATTTACTATAACTGATCCCAGAATAGCAATCATGGTGCCAAGTTTTAAGAATACAAGTAGGCCTCCATAAAATGCAACCCATGCGTTTATGGTTTACTGAATATTGACTCAATCACATGAATCACAAAAATCAGGGTAATCGGTAAATCTTATAACAGTAGCATTCAAATTACTACACTTTTTACACTGTTTACTAATAAAAGTTGTAGACAATATATAGACTTAAATCAAAGTCAGTTTTAAGTGACACTCTCTCTCTGAGCGACTACTCCTACTAACTCTATGCACACTCAAGATGCGTCAAGGCAGCAAACTAAAACAGTAAGGGAAGATTAAATGATTCTTATCTATTACAAGATCACTTAAAACTCATGTCTCCTATAAATTTGAAGAAAAAATAACTGCTTTAGACTAGTTAAAATAACCACTAAGAAAGTCAGAGCATCAATATTATGCTAGCGCCATAATTTAAAGATTATTAACCAGTGTCAATGCGATCAAATTTAAACATAATAAACTTGTTATCTCCCCTTCTGAGCCAACTTTTATTTATTATAATTTTTTTTACAAGGCCCCGGGGATATGTATGTTATTTAAAGCCTGAAGAATTTGAAGTGAATAATGGGATTATTGATTAACTTCTGGGCATCCAGGTGTTTTTTTTTTTAAAGAACAACATCTCAAACACACAAGACCAAGGCTAGAGTCCTGCAGAAACATATAGGAATGGTATTTCTGTACTCTTTCCACAGCAGGGACCCAGTTTCCAGAAGTAATCCTGCAGGACAGTCCCTTGAACTTGAGGTATGCAAGCTATGTAGCAGACAAATGAGGGGAAGATCATCACCCACTATGGTGCTTATTTTATATTTCATTAGTATGGCAAACAAGTTTTAAAAAGTTATTTTATTTAAATTTGAAGTTGCTCTATCAAAATTTTTCAACTATACAAGTATAAATTGACCCTTTATAAAAAATGTTGTACTGTATTTGCTAAGAAACTGACATGCTTGTGATGAACTTTTCAAAGGCCTTTGATCATGTCAATCACAGTTTGCTATTACACAAACTACAGAGATATAGGATCCAAGGCACTACCATAACATGGATCTCTAGTTTCCTCAGCGACTGATGCCAGGCAGAAGTGGTAGACGGCACAAGCTTCTCCTTTGCCTGTGTTAAGTCAGGGTTCCCCCAGGGCTTGGTGCTAGGCTCTGTCTGTTCCTCGCATACCTTAGTAAACTGCCTGAGAAGCATAACTCCCAAGCATGACAAAGCAGTGTATAGTACAATCACCAACAGTGCTGACCAGGATCAGCTACAACAGGACCTCATTGGTTAGCTGAGTGGGAGATGAGCTGGGACATGGAATTTCATCCTGTGAAGTGCTACACCCTGTCATCCTCCAGGTGTAGAAGCCCTCTACACCATCTTTATGAACTGCCATATGCTTGAGCCAGTTTCCTCTATAAGGTACCCCGGTGTTACCATTCAAAATAGGTCAACTGAGACAAGCACATTAACAATGTGTGCAACCAGGCAAACAAGACCCTAGGGTTCCTAAGGTGAAATCTAAAGATCTGCAACTCCCTTATGAAAGAAACAGACTATAAAGCCTTTGTCCAGTCACTTTTAGATTATGCATCTTCAGTCTGGGACCCATTCACCCAGAAGAGAATTGAAATGTTGGCGGTCCAGTAACAGGCAGCAAGCTTTGTCCTGAGCCACAACAGGAACACCTCATTTGGCAGCATGCTGGAAACACTGGGCTGGTCACCATTGGAGAAAAAAAAAGCTGGTCCATTCCTTCAGCATTAAACAGAAACTCATCCCTCTCCCCCTTAGACAGCAATGAGCCCATGACAGACAATTCTGGCTCATAACAGCAAGAACAGAGTACAGGAACAGTTCATTCCTGCCAAGGACAATCAGGGACAGGAACGAGCTTCCAAAAGGAACAGTTGAGGCTACAACACTTGACACATTTGCGTCATTGCCTCCTGCCTTCCAACCCCCAGTTCCTAATACTATCGCTGAGTAGTCCTTGCAACCAGTGACGTATCCTCTTTAAAACCATGGACACAGACATAGTGAACCACCTCTAAAAAAAATGGGAGCCAGAATTTTCAATACATTGATTGTGGGTCCTCAAAATATAAAAATAAACAGATATTGATTGCAGGGGGGTTTGTTGTTGTTGTGTTTGTTGATATTGCATGATTTACCCGACTTTTTTCCCAAGAACTGGACCCCTGATGCCCTGCACAAGAGTCTAGACTACTGAAATGAGTTACTCATACATAGCCATAGAAGTTCAGATGTCTCTTTGTATAGTGAAAATGTCAACATTGATGATAAACAAACATGACATAAAAAGACGGAAGGACTGACACTTAACTATTTTGATCATGTAGGTCTGTAGTTTGTTAAAATGTTTTTTTTGGTACAGACTGACACTGACGATGAGAAGAAGTTACACAATGGTACCTAATTCTTGGGATTAATTTACGCTATTTCATTTGGATTTAATTTAAGATGCTAAAATAATCAAATATGAAATGACATGAATAATTTAAACAACCTAAACATTTAATGTTATAGACCTAAAAACTAAAGATGGGAATCAAACCCCCATTAAGAAGTTTAGGTTTTGTTCATTGACAACTTAAGTTCAGATTCGGTTCATAACAACTTAAGTTTTGGTTCGGTAACAACTTTGGATCTGGTTAGGTAGAAAATGAAATAAAGTAGGTAAAAGTGCTTCCTATGAAACTGCAAGTTGGGTTTTCATTATTTTACAATTATTTTGTATTGTTTTTCTTCATATTTAGTTTTCTTACCACAGTGTGCAACTGTAGCACACGTGTTTCAGTGGAGGGTTAGGTTTAGATTAAGGGATAGGTTTAGGGTTAAGGATAAAGTTTAAGTTTAGGATTTTAAAAGATGTGTTTTTTAAACAGCCATCATCTTGGTTGCATGACCAGTGCCGTGACCTTTCACGGGTTGTGGCAACCAGGATGGTGGCTGTGTGAAATGTCAAATTCACCAAAATCGGTTTTGGATTTTTAAAATAAGGAAGGACCCTTAAATAAATAATAAAGAAAGCTGACAGTTTCTATCACTATCCTCTATCTATCCTCACTTTTTTTTAGGCATCTTATTAGGCACTTTTATGAAAATTTCAAAACATTTTTTAAAATATAAAAATACTATAGCTGTATAGAGCCTGGAGAATAGATTACAAAAACACCAAGATCAACTTTCTAGCTCAAGTGGTTCAAAAGTTATGAATTTTTTAGTAGGGACCACAAAGACACTTTTTTACTATGGGATTTTCCTCCACATTTCGTGACCCTCAATTTGCTTTTTTTTTTAATGCCTATAACTTTATTGTAAAATGAGACAAAAATATAATATTTACAGGGAACAAAGTTAAATATGACTACTTCTAAATAAAGCCACAAAATATAAGTTAGTTTTTGTTAATATTCCGCAAATTTTTTTTTTTTAAATCTTGATTTTTTCCTTTTAAAACATGTATAAATATGCTGACTCGTCTTTTATTTGAAATTAATTAATTAATTTTGTTTAAATATATTTTTTTTAAATTTCCCTAAAATCATAATAATAATAATATTCTTTAGATATAAATTTCAAATTTTCTGTGGAATTGTTTAACATTTATAAGTATAAACTAATAATAAAGGGATTACTTGTTTCATTTAGTTAAAATTTACGATTACACTTTTTATTTTACCATTTTCTATATATGTATTTAAGTTCCACATCATATGAATGTCTGAATATGACAAAAAAATTGTATGTAATTTTTTACAAGTTAGTAATCTTGTTTCACAAATTAACATGCATTGACAGAATCAACTTTGGTGGTTTATACAAACTAAAAAAAAAGTTCTAGTCATTTGCTTGTAAGTATCAGTTTTTATGATTGTTCTTTAATATTATTAATAATATCTTAAGTAATTCTTGGACTATTGTGGCAGAAAGTGTGTTTTTTCTTTGAGAATACCAAGGATTATGTAATAGTTCTCTGTAAGATATTGTGATATGTGATTAAATATAGGATATTTCAATATGAAAGGTAAGTGACTATTTTTTTTTTTCATTTTTGCTTAATCTATGCATTAAGAATCATAATATTCATTAAAATATCATTACAAATAACAAATAATGTGTCACACAAATAATGAGTTGGGGTGGAGCTAGGCCTATACTTAAAATACTATACTATACTTTTCTAGGCCTGTATATATATTAATTTTTTATATTTAATATATTAATTATAATAATAATGAGACTAATAATAAATTCAGTTTAACCCACTACCCAAGTCAATACCCCTCAATAAAAGCATCAAAACAAGTTAAAAATATATATTTATGTTGTTAAAATAGGTATCTGTGTTATTAAATTATTTGTTTTTGTTTTTGAAGTAGTTATATTGGAGTAATAAGCTGGATTTCCATTGTTAATCAAGTTATTTACTTTTTTTTTTTTATTATTAAAATTTGTTATTGATAATAGGTAATTTTGGAACACACGTGACAAAAATTTGGTAGGCATTTTTTTACCATTGAACTGGGTGCTAACCGCTTGAATTTTTTATATGTTGTAATTTACTCTATTATCTCCCGTCATCTTTTTATTTAAGAAAGACACCCTTTCTAAAAAAAAAATATGAATGAGTGAAATAAGCATTATTTTAACTTCAATTTTCAAAGTTAAGACCCCAAATATTTTTTAGAACAAAAGTGTGTTATCATAAAACAACATGTCTACTCAAAGTTGTGGGCGGAAATAGAATGTGCTTGCTGGGCTATAATTAACAAAAACATCGTAAACAACGAGGCTCTCGGTAAATTAAAAAGTGGAGGTCACCATTTTGAAAACGAAATCATGATACCCGGTTTTCGGCAATTCCCGGATCTCATCGAAGTGGCTACATCTTATTTTGTACGTTTTTTAATGCTACTAATTAATGACACTGGATGAAATAGTCAACAACTTTGATTTTTTTTAAAATTGATTGATTACATTAAAAAGTATAATTATATATATTATTAATTGGTAAAAGTGCAGTTCAGGTGCGTATATTATTTCTTAGCGCATTTCGTATTTTATCATGTAAACTTATGTGTATTGTTTATAAAAAGTATTTTAAAAGTAAAATAACATCTTTTTATTGGAATACAACAACAATTTAACAAATTTTACGAGATAAAAAAAAAGTACATTTTCTTGAATCTTTCGTCTTTTATGGAGCCATTGTAGTAAATCATGGATAACTCTTCTGTCTTTACAGATATGTTATAAAAGTTGCCCAGTTGGATGAATCTTGGTTAAAATAAATGTTGTATTTATTTTATAACTTTACTTTCAAATAAAACCGGATTTGCCCGGGCTGCATTCAGAAAAAAAAAAACATCTGCTACGTCCTGTTAATTCACATTGCTATTAACCCGCGAAATATCAACAACAAAACAACACCACTATAGGTATAAAAAAAAATTAATTAACTTGTCTCCTATAAAACCACTTAAAATTAAATAACAAATAACGTATGTAAACATTTCGTTTTTCCCGTTTTCCGATGGCACCCAGAAGGATCATGATGGGATCTGGTAGAATCTTGGTCATGGTGGGATTCCGACCCCGGTAAGATACTGATCCCGTGAGATCCCATTTCCGGTGGTATCCCAAACTAAATGAGATCCCGATCCCATGGGATCCCGTTTCCGGAAAGATTCCGATAGGATCTTGATCCCAGTGAGATCCTGATGCGGGTGGGATCCTGATCCAGTGGGATACTGGTTATGGTGAGTTCCTATATTCCCCCTATATTCCGAGCGCTCTGAGAGGAAAAAAAGAAAGTGGTGGGGGAGGGGCTTGGGCATAATGAAAAATCTAGTATTTCATTCTTTTTTGTGAACATGCTTTACAGTTTGAAAATTTCGTTTAGCATACTAACTTATAGGTGGCTAAAATCTGTCATAGGGTGAAAAGAAAAATACAAACAAATGGGGCTGTGTCACTTTTGTTGGGGATGGTTAAAGACTCTTTAGAAGTAAAATAAAAAGAATTTATAAGAAAATAAAAGAAAAAGAAAAGATGTGACTTATAATTATAATTCAGAATTAGTTAACTATAATAGACTATAACTGCCTGTATTTAATTATTAAAGAATACACGTAAGTTTACATGATAAAAAAAAATTTAAATACGAAATGCGTTAAGAAATAATATACGCACCTGAATTCCACTTTTACCTATTAATTTATATTATATAATAATATAATGGTAATCCCTTATTTTAGTGCGTTTTATTATTTCTTGAAAAATAAAAATTTTTATAGGCTACCGTCTGTAAATATCAGGGTCGGTTCTAATTAATATTAATAAGTTTGCTATAGATTCGTTCGGGTCGGTTCGCAATGAGTGACGTTGAGATTTGGTCGTCAGCATGGTTAAATCGGTGGTTCGGTTCAATTACCATCTCTATTAGAAATAGATAATAATTACCCACCGACATAAACAAGACGTTTATTGCTGGAGGCTGCCATCTTAAGTTTGCTTTAATAAACTACTTCCGTCTCTGATGTTCGGTTGTCCCGGGTTGTACGAGGGGTAGTGATTTATGCCTATTTATCCTATAACTAAAGAAAAATATATTTCATTTTATGTTATCAATGAAAAAACTAAATTATACTTCAAATCCAAACTCGAGTTTTTGTCACTTTGCAGTGTAATCGTATTTCTAACCCAATTATTATTATCAAATAATTTATGTATGTGCAGTTCTAGTTAATTCTTAATATTATCGAAATTATAAAACCATGCTAAACGGAATGTTTTTTTAAAAAAATTCAGGAAAATAAAATTTATTTTTAAAAAATGAACACTCATACACGAAAGTCTCTGGCCCTAAATAAAACATTAAAAATGCTTGTTTAAAAATGTGTCAGATATTGCTAAATATTGTGGCATCAAGTGTTAATAAAACATATTTCAGTTTGACTTTAGAACACTCAATATCTTGACCGTTTCAAATGCAATATTTAATGTCGACTAGTGGGATACTAATGGGTGCGAAGGGGGCGGCATAGGCCTTACTAAAATTTTACATGTCTCATGCTGCGGTCACTCTTCTAAATAGGTCTATTGGGGGGGGGGGGGCTCCATAAGGTAAAGTTATTTACCTTTCTTTTTAATTATTATCTGAACGTATGGACCGATCTTACACCGCGATTTAATACCTGTAGTAAAGTAGTAATAAGCATCAACATTTTTAACAAACGTTTTTAACTAATATGATGAATTTGCTTTGTTGAATGTCTATTCAAGATGCTTAAAATAAGACCCCAGCTGCCGGCACATTAACAAATGAAGCTCTTATATTATATTATTATTTTTATATAATAGTTTAAAATAGGGACCGGTAAGAGGGTTGTCAAATAATTTCAAACTGATGACAATTTATTAGGGATTTGGGATGAAGTAAACTAGAAGGCAGCATTATTTTATTTTTAAAGTTGAATCTTACTTATTAATTCATTTGATGATACTACTGAGTTGTTTTTTGTTTTTGTTTTTTTTTGTTTTTTTCTTTTTTTTTCTTTGTCTATAATCATACTACGGTTTATTATAAGAATAAAATAAATGTCGCCAAAATGCCTTTTTTTCATTTTGGTTTGTGTGGTAAATTACGCCAAAAGCATCTCGTACATTTTAATTGAACTTGACTGTATGGAATTTTAAGTAAAGATCGAACAACAGGTGCATCCATATTAAGGCAAGAAGCTTTAAAAGCTGTAATTTTTTTTTACATCAAATTCCTGCAAAGAATCCATAAATATCTTTTTTTTTTTGGGGTCAAATTTAATCACTAATGAAGAGCTAAGGAATAAGAACTATAGCCGTCGCTGTTCGGACATGTCGAAGGCCGCAGGAGATGGTTGAATCCAGTTTATATCGTGCCACAGGGTCATTTTCAAGGGCAGCTGAACAGCTCAGATCTCAGATGGACAACAGCAATGTTCCCTTTAAACTGAGCGGCCGCGCAGTTAACTCACAGACGCCGCGTACCAGTTTTGAGATCCGCGCAGCAAATTTCCATGCAAGTGTCTGTTTGTGTTTGTTGGCTGTAAAACTTTGCACACAACTGTATGATTTTGCACACGAAACAGCAAACCTTAGAGGGAACATTGGACAACAGGAGCGTAATTTCAGTTTTTTTCTGGGGTGGGGGGTTAAAACTTGGTGGGCTTGTTAAGCTGTTTATTACTGAAAGCGCCACAGCAGCTTCATAGCCATGTAAATAAAAACCTGCAAATTTGGGGTAGGGGGGGGGGCAGGGCCAAATGCCCTACCCAAATGACGTCCTTGATGGACAACCCAGTAATCAGGTAAAACGAAACTGCAGAGGGCCAATGTTTTGTACATCTGAGATGATTCGTGCAGACTAGGGAATTTGACCTTATCGAGCTGATCTTAGGTATTTGTGATGAAGTGGGTGGGATGTATCATTTAAAAAAAAGATTAGTTTTACAACATCAGTTTATTCAAATAGTTCTTCAAGTGAAGGATGGTACATTTTTTTGTGATATTGCTAACACATAAATTCTTTTGAGGGATTGAGATTACTTTCTTACAAACTCCGGCTAGTAAAATGGCAACCAGCTCCATCTACTGGGATGTGTCATATAACAGTGTCTTCTCCCGTCACCCTTGCCTACCCCGAAACGTCTAGTGACGGGCATTCAGTCAACTGATGCGCTTGAGTTTCTGGGACCAGGCTGCAATGCCGGCATGTAGGGTCCTTGTTATAGTATATCCTATTGAAGTATGTGTTAATGCAGCGGTTCTCAACCTGTGGGCTGTGACCCCTTTGGGTATCAAACGACAATTTCACAGGGGTCAACTAAGACCATCGGAAAACACAAATCCTCTAGTTATGAAGAAACAACGAAAACAATTTATGGTTGGGGGTCACCACAACACGAGGAACTGTAAAAGAGGGTCGCGGCATTAGGAAGGGTGTGAACCACTGTGTTAATGGGACGATGCTCGGTACACAGTTGTGTCACTAGACTCTGTTGTCTACGACCTAACCTCCACCAATACGATATTCGATATATTAGTGAACACGCCCCTGGCCACCGTGCTGTCTGCCCACTGCATTGTACCATTTTGTGCGAAAATGGTCTGCCAACCAGTTTTTGATACCTAGGTATGATACTGGTAGGCCTACATCTAGCTGAGACTGGCCACGATCTATCTATATATATATATATATATATATATATATATATATATATATATATATATATATATATATATATATATACTAGATCTGTGGGCCATGGGTTGGGCAGCCCCGGTTTTTTGCCAGGGTGTCTGCTTTTTCGTTGCCACTGTCGGCACCCTGTCACCATGCCTCCAATCTCACCGATCTTGCCCACTTCATTTAGAATGGCACCAACTAAGTGAGTGACACCCGCCTCCTTATTCAGGATCTCAAGAGCAGATCTAGACTCGGAGTAAACGACGACGTCGAGTCCCACAAGTTTCAATCCCTTCAGAGTGTGGTTATATGTTCCAGGGCCCAGTAGATAGCCTCAAGCTCCACAGATTAGTCTATTTATCGGTGTTTGTTGTCAGACGATGAATTCCTATACCAGCAGGTACTACTGAAGTTCAGTTGGCTTTCCATTTTACACTGTAGAATAAGTTAATAACTGGTTTGATTGCGTCAAAATTGTAACATTTTCAAAGACAGAAAAGTCGCTGGTTGACTTCCTTTAATACACAATTTTGCCATGTTCATGCCATGTCAACTTATTATTAATTAGAAATACTAATACGTGAATCCATTTATTTATATGTCCTACTAGGTTGATTTTGGAAGAAAAAAATCCAAAACATAATATATAACTAGTTTGACACATAAACAGCCTGACATAATAAGTTACTAGAGCACTAGTTCCCAGTATGTGGAACGTGATCGCCAATGGGCTTGCGAAGAGATTCCTTAGGGATCGCCGTCTGAAACACAGGCTACTAATAAAAATAGTGATTTTTTCAACCTTTTTTGTTAATGCTTGTCTTATATTTTGAGTTATAATTTTAGTCATGGTATAATATGTCTTTAATTACAATACTGAAAAATCTATTTACACATTTTTTTAATTTCAAAGAATTTACCCTATTTAAACGCTTTAAAAAAATTGTGATGAGTCACTTTGCTTCTATATCGATGTAGTCGTGACAGTGACTTGAAAACACAAAAGAACCCGTGTATTTGAGTTACTGCACTTGATAATAATTTAGCGCAGTTAATTAGCTTTTACTGGTTCTGGCTTACGGCAACAGTTTGTGACTTGCCGAAATAAATTTTAAAAAATACAATCTAAAAATATGTAACCGGGATTAGAAAATTTCCCTGGAAGTCTTTTGTTTACTAAAAATCATGTGGTTTCTCATGAGAGAAACCCTAGTTACGACGTGTAGTTATACACACAATCATTCGTACACATTATAGGCCTACAATTATACAATTGTATGCTACACACATGATCAATTATATATTCAGTGACGTATTAGGCCTACCCATTGAAACCCTATAATAGATATTAAAACTTACTACACCAAGCTAGCTTTTCAAATAAATTATAGGTTTTACCTATTAAAGTAATTTAAATTACGTCGGACACATAATAGATTTTGCTCAGTTGCCATTTATTTTTCTCCGCGTCAACCTCATTTATTTTTCACGCATGCGTTAGAATGTTTGTTATATTTCCGTTTTGAAATTATGGGTTGGTTAAAAGTTACCCGCACCCTTTGTTTGAAGTCTTAGACTATTTAGTGTAAAGTAAGAACTTTAGTTAATACCTAAGTTTACATATTATATATAACGTAATTAAACATTGACGATGAATGCTTATGTGCTTGAAACGCATTCAATGTATTCTTTGTATGATAATTAATTTATAGTTTTCAATGTGGTAATGGAGACCCGGTGATGAAGATTAAAATGAAAAGACAGCCTGGGCTTCGGAACTTCCGGGGAATTTGTACCGCTGAAATTAATACGAAGCTAAGAGTGCTAACTAAGACTGGGTCCTAGAGACCAATGCATTATTATTGGCATGTCTATGATTTGATTAGTGCAAGTTGCCTATCTTTAATTTTAGGTAATCTCATAATAGCATAATGGCATAATTCAATAAATTAAAAACTCCTTATTTACAAACATTAACAGTGGTAACATTAAAAACACTTGAATACTTAACAGTAACCCTTTGAATAAAAAATCCATAAAATATTCCCCTGCCTGGGAGGGGGGGTGGGGGGTGGGGCTTGTGCCTATTTATTGGCATAATGCATGGTAATATATTTTTTAAATTTTAATCATTTAATTGATTTAAATTTAAAGGGGTCACTGGGTACAAAAAAAATGTATTTAAATTAATTAAATTATAAAATGACAATTCAAAATATTTAAACTATCGATGGAAGCTGCCGTTAAAATGACTTGGATTTTTGGACTGATGGATAGTTTTTTTCCCCTTTC